TTATTGTTCATATTTTTCAACTACAGTGCATGCTCAGTGAGGGCATTTTTATGTGCTGTGTGGGTGGGAGAAGTTTGGTATTTACAAGGCCTAAGAAAGCTTTTAGCTTCCTGGGATAACTAAGCACATGGGACCAGGAGAAGCCTCTCAGAAGATCCCACACTGAAATCATGGAATGAAGTAGCCAAGACCCAGCACACTTGAAGGGCCATAGAAACATGTCCACTGAGAGACATGCTTTTCAGTAGTAATTGTGGGATCAGATTATTTGCTGGCCAAATCTCCCGTCTATTAGTGTGGGCTTCTTAGAGACAGACATCAAGATAAGATTAAGTGTACAAAGATTTTAAGGGAAACACCTATAGGAGAAAATATGGAGAGTGTCTTCAGATTGTAATACAAGTCTGATCCCAAAGGAACAGAGCAGGAAAGAAGGCTGAAATGAATGTGTCTCAGGCTACTGTGTAATCTAAGGAAAGTTCTGCAAAATTTTCAGGGAGTACTTGAACGGAAGTTGCCCATCAAAGGAATCCTGTGTCTTCCAGAAACAGACTTGCCGTAGTATCCCTTAGCCATGCTTGATATGGCTGGGAGCAGCCCCTGGAAAGCATGTGTAAATGTGGCAATGGATTTCAAAACAGGGCAGCAGGGTCCTTGGGTGATGCTCCCTGTAGCTTGTGGTCTGAGTGACACCTACTCACGGCCACCATGACTGACATCCAATGTCTTAGAACTACATGATATTGGGGCAGCATGGTAGGTGGGCATATAAAGGAACCTTTTAAAAGCCTTAAGATTAATTTTCCACCAGCCCGACAGAATGTTGGTTAAAACAGAAAATAAAATTACTTAAAAAGCAAAGGTTGTTTTATTTCTTGCCCACCTGAGTTTGTGAACTGAGCTTTATACTTGCTACATGTAGGAGGATACAGCATTCCAAACAGAGTGAAATGCTTTTTTAAAAATCCAGAGAGTTTTTTAAAAAAGATAATTTGGAGGAATTGGAAGAAAATAAGTCCAGTTACAGCATACAGAGTGAGGAAGGGAATAGTCACAGATAATGATGAAAGACTTTAAGATGCCTTGTATTTAGCAGGCCTTTAGAATAGTAGTCCAGTTGTCACTCAATATCCACAGGGGATTGGTTCTGAAACCCCCCCAAATACCAAATCCATGGATGCTCAAGTCTCTGTTATAAAATGATGTTATATCTACATATAACCTACACATATCCTTATAGACATACTTTAAATAATCTCTAGATTACTTATTATAAGTCACAGAATGTGAGTGCTATGCAAATAGTTGCTATATTTTATTGTTTAGGGAATGAACAAGAAATTATCTGTGAATGTGCAGTACAGATGCAGCCATCATAGGCCTAACTCTATTTTTTATCCATGATTGGTTGAATCTATGAATGAGGACTCCTTGGATATGGAGGGCTCGCTATATACACAGATGTAAGGAGTGTTAGGCCCTGCCATGTGCCTGAAGTCAACAATGGGACAGTTATTACCCTTTGGGAGCCTCGGTTCCTCTTCTGTAAAACAGGAAAAAAGATAGCACCTATGCCACAGGGGAGTTATATGGCTTAAATGAGACAATACGTTCAAACCATCAATATACATTTCTAAGACTAAGCCTGTTGGATCTTATCACAGGTTTTGTTTAATAAAGCCAGGAAAATACCCTATTTTATCATTAGGGCCTATCCATAAGATTGAGTGAAGAAGAAAATAATAACAAAATAAAAAGGAATTTTTTTTTTTTTTTGAGACGGAGTTTCGCTCTTGTCACCTAGGCTGCAGTGCAATGGTGCGATCTCGGCTCACTGCAACCTCCACCTCCCGGGTTCAAGCGACTCTCCTACCTAAGCCTCCTAAGTAGCTGGGACTACAGGCATCCGTTACCATGCCTGGCTAATTTTTGTATTTTCAGTAGAGACAAGGTTTCACCACATTGGCCAGGCTGGTCTAGAATTCCTAACCTCGTGATCCATTCACCTTGGCCTCCCACAGTGCTGGGATTACAGGCATGAGCCACCATGCCCGGCCAAATGGAAAATATTTTTATTGTCCTGCAGGAACAAAGAAAGCACCAAGTTGAGATCAAGCTTCCTGCTTTGTTGTTGTTGTTTCCTTTTCCTTCTCCTTTGAGGGAAAACACTAAAAGGGTATATGCAGAGTAGGGAGGGAAGAGTAGTAAGAGGGATGCCCTTAAAACCATCAGTAGAGGAAAGCATGAAGGTACATAGACCTCAGTCAACACAGGTCGCCCTGAATGAAGTGGTCAGGTGAGAGAGGAGACGCTCTGGTTTGCACTCCTGAGTGTTCTTATATTACCTAGACACTGAGTTGAGAGTCACTGGGCCTACTGAAGTGCCCTCTGGATGATGAATTCCATAGGTTTAGGTAAATGGCCAGGTTCTCAGAGCCAGAGAGATGTTGCAGAGTCTGAAAGTCTAGCAAGCCTCCAACATAAGCAAGAGCTAAGAGAAGTCCTAGTAAACCTAAGAGAAGTACAAAGGTGGTCCCTGATCAAACCATGAAGCCAGACTGCAAATTACACAAGCCATTACTCTCACCTGCAAAGATCAGCAACAAGCTGGACAAGGATCATTATCCCAGAGATCAGAGGAAACAAGTGCTCTGTATCCAAAACCAATTATTTCATGACAAGATTATGAAAATTACTCATTCCATGACAACTTATACCCAGAACCATCTAGGAAAGAAGCCTAAACTGTGGGCAGATGACTTCAAAATCAGAGACTGAATGTTTTCTCTTAGACATGCTGAGTACCACCTAAAGGGCCATTGGAATATATCATAACTATTTTTTTCTGGTGAGTCAAAAGATGTGATGTTTTGTGAAGAAAACCAGTTCAGTTTAATATGGCATATGCCCACTGTGCATCTCAGTTGTAGTATGAATAAATGTGTTGCTTTTTAAAATTGTTATTTGTATTAGAAATAACAGTAGGGGCGCTATCACTGAGAGGCTTATCACTGGTAGTGTAAGCTACTGTGGTGGTAAGAGAAGTTTCACAGTGGTGGAATCTGCTAAACAGACATGGATGTCTCAAAAGGTTACTGGGTACTCACCAGGTAGTCACTAGGTAGATGAGGAAAGTATATTCTAGACCAGGCTTTACCAACCTGCATCCCACATTCAGCCCAGGACAGCTTTGAATGTGGCATGACACAAATTTGTCAGTTCTCTTAAAACTATGAGTTTTTTTGTGACTTTTTTCTTCTTTTCTCTTTTTTCTTTTTTCTTTTTTTTTGAGATGAAGTTTTGCTCTTGTTGCCCAGGCTGCAGTGCAATAGCACGATCTCAGCTCACTGCAACCTCTGCCTCCCAGGTTCAAGTGATTCTCCTGCCTCAGCCTCCCAAGTAGCTGAGATGACAGGCACCCACCAACACACCCGGCTAATTTTTTTTTTTTTTTTGTATTTTTAGTAGAGATGGGGCTTCATCATGTTGGCCAGGCTGGTCTTGAACTCCTGACCTCAGGTGCTCCACCTGCCCCTGCCTCCCAAAGTTGCTGGGATTACGGGCATGAGCTACTGCGCCCAGCTGACTCTATTTATTTATTTATTTTTAGCTCATTAGTGATCATTAGTGTTAGTGTATTTTATACAATTATTCTGCCAATGTGGCCAGGAAAGTAAAAAAATTGGACACCCCTGTTCTAGACAGTGGCAACAGGAGGATAAATCCAGGCAGCGGGTAATAGCAAGGAGTTCTGGGGAAAAGAAAGAAGTTCAGCAGTAGCTGGAGTGTCATTGGTAAGGGGAAGGAAGGGCTAAAGATTAATAAACCAAGTGATGCGGGCAGGAGGCAGCTATTAAAAGTTTGGTAAGAACTTGGACAAAACAATCAGACATACATTCAAGGAAATCTCACTCTGGCAAAGAAACAGGGAATTTGTTGGAGGGATTTTGGATCTGGATAAGGGAAACTGTTTAGTTAGAATAATCCAAGCAAAATAATGATTAAAGCCTGAACTAAGGCAGTGGCGATCAAATGGAAAGTAGAGGATGAAGGATTAGGTACGTTAGGTAAGTAGAAGAGTCTTTGTTAACTAAGTAGGCTGACTTTGTTAATTAATTACTATGAGTAGGGTAGGAGATAAGGGGAAAGCATCTCTGTTGGTTTTCAGAGCTCTTGCTAGGGGAGATAGTCGAGAGGAGAAACTGGTCATGAAGAAATAAGTTTGGGGAGCTAGCGAATGGAAAAGATAGTGAGTTCAGTTAGGAGGCAGAATTAAACTTCCTTTCTGTTTTTATTTTGTTTTGTTTTAACCTAGTACAAGAACTTAATCTTTTGGAATCTCAATTACTGTGTCTTAGAAATGGAAATCCTATTATTTATCCAACATGACAGCAGTACTCATGCCTGGAATCTCTACAAATTCTACATAATAGAAGGAAGAAGGAAGAAAAGGGGGGGTGGGAAGGAGGAGGAGGAAACACCTGAAAAAGTCTTTTTTTAGAAAAAAAAAAAAAAGCACCAAATGCTTTTAAGAGTATTCCATGTGCAAAACTCATTAAGTCAAAGTATACTGACAGATTCACAGACTTTCAGAGCTGAAAGACACCTTAGAGATCATGTAATCCAAGTTAGCATTTTTATGGATGAGGCCACAGGAGTGCAGAGAGGTTAAGAAACTTGGCCAAGATCACACAAGGGAGCCCATCACAGGATTGCTGCCCCAGTGGGCTTTGCTGCTGCATCTACTGGCCACACTCAGCACTGACTTAAGGCAAACACTGCCACAGATGAGAACTAAACGCCGCATTTAAACCTGCAGCACTGCATTCAGGATCTCTAATTTTACTATAAACATCTCAACATCATTCTGAATAATCTCTCACACAGGAAAGAAAAATTTAGGTATACATGTTATATACTTCAATCAAGTCCATCATAAAGATGTTATTTGGGTCTATTGATATTCACTACAATTCCATGATGATGATTTATATTTTACAGACGAAGACACCAAGGCACAGAGATGATAAATGTCTTACTTGTGGTGACAGAACTAATAACTTGTGGAGTCAAGACCCAAACACTGGTAATCCAGCACCAGAGACTGTATTTTTTTACCACTGTACTACGCTGTCTCTTAATCACCTTTTTTGTTTGTTTCCAAATAACAGGGCTAATCAAACATTGTAATAATAGTGAAAACATTCTTAAACATGCTGCCATTTAAATCTAGACCTAATAATTGTCATAAGTCTGTGAATAATTTTGAAGTGTACATATTTATAGATTTATCAGACTGTATACCCATGTTAACTTTATGATGATCTGCAAAGCAAACTAGGTAAGTCACATTTACGTAAAATAAACAGTTTTCCCCATGATACAGTTTGGCTGTGTCCCCACCCAAATCTCATCTTGAATTGTAGTTCCCATAATCCTAGTGGCATGGGAAAGACCAAGTGGAGATAACTGAATAACGGGCGCAGCTTCCGCCTTGCTGCCTCTCATGATAGTGAGTGAGTTCTCATGAAATCTGATGGTTTTCTAAGGGGCTTTCCCTTTTGTTCAGCACTCACTTCTCTTCCTGCCACCATGTGAAGAAGGATGTGTTTGCTTCTCTTTCCACCATGATTGTAAGTTTCCTGAGGCCTCCCCAGCCATGCTGAACTGAGAGTCAATTAAACCTCTTTCCTTTATAAATTACCCCACAATTTCTAAATAATAAAGAAGGCTGCTTTTAAAAACTATTTATCTTAGCTCAAGGAATTGTTAGTAGGTGGAAGCTTATGAAATCAGATCCATTCGAAAATGAATATATCATGAACTATGCAATGCCAGTAAAATATGTTGGTCACATCAGTGTTTTTACATAAATGACTCTCCAGACATCTAAGCAATAGCTGCTGGTCTTAAAGGACAAGTGGGACAGGTGAGCCACATAAGAACTTCTCTGCTTCTTCCCAGCTGTCATGGCATTTATCCTCTCTTCGACCTCAGGATATCAGATCAGAGGTTCAAGTAGATAGGGCGTTAAAGGGAGTACTTTTCAACCAACTTATAGTAATTAATAATTATCAAACAACAAGGGCTATTTTTCTTGGATAATGTTAAGTAATGGGGAACAAGGGGTGGAATCCGAGCAGAGGAATGGCATGACAGTACAGGAGATGAGGTGCAGCAAGACTAAAAGTCAGGACATCCTGTTGAAGAACAATGTGGGCTTCAAGGCCTTAACTCTGATGGTGGTGGGACTGGGAAAGAGAGATCCCGAGTAGTCAGAAATGAGAAAAGCTCATGACTACCTGGATACAGGAGTAGAAAAGAGGGCAATTTAAAAATTCAGGGATTCCTTCCATATAATCCTTCCATCTGTCACTCCCACTCTCAACATCAATTTTAAGAATACCTTTTTCAAGTGTCCACCTCATATGCTACCTCCATCTGAACTGCTTCAAAATATTAAAAGAAATTATGCTTATTGCTTGAGTTATATGGCTGTTGACATGCTGCCCAGATGAACAAAAATATTTTATTTGGCTCACTTTACCATGAAATAGAATGATGTTTCAAAAACATTCCCTTTAAATTATCCTAGTGTTACAAAGACAAAAAAAAAGAAAAGTCACTTCAGTTTTAACATATGAACAATATTAAAATGACATATGAAGAATATTAAAATACATGTGTAACAGTCACCATTTGGAAATGATAGCAAACGAAGGGGTGTATGATGAACAATTCAAAAACATCAAGCTTTAACTAAGAAAAAAAAACAAAATAATATCCGTGTTCTCTTATTTCACTGTAATCCGAATTATCTTATTCTTTACCATACTTCTCTAAAAGAAATAAATAGTACCACATAGCAGTTAGGGGCATAATAAATAGACACTTTCAATTACTCTGAAGAAATGACTTAAATAGGGATTTTTTTAAGAGGCATTATTTGGCAAAAGTCTTAACTGCAGTGATTTTTACTGGAAAGACTTCATCGGCTCCCCACAGCTTAGGTGAGAGAATTTGATCCCAAACCCCAAGCCAAAATTCTTATAAATCTACACTCATCAAATAAGATCACTCAGCTCCTGCTAAGCCATAACTTGTTTAAGGTTGAATATAACAAACATCTCATCTCACATACATAGGCTCTGTTACTAAGAAATTTGTAACAAGAAGTAAAATTGGAGGAGGGATGACCACAGGTTTCTAGGGTTTCCAAAGTATGTCATTTGCAAATTGTTTCTCATAAAAGCCATCTTGAAATTAATACGGTAGCCCACACTATTCCTTTCATGAGAAAGACCATGAAGCAGGCAGTCGACGCCTACCACCACTCCGAGAATATTAATGCTTACAAACAAGGTAGCAATTGTCATGTGACTTTGTGCTTCTACTCATACTTGTCCTGATATCTGCAATGTTCTCTTGTTTGTTCTCTCTTGACCCTTGAAAACCAGTTCAGTTTCTGCCTTCTCCTTGAACCTATCCTTAATACGGCAATTTGTTATCAGTACTGGAATTAATCTCCTGGAAGCTTACTTTTTTGTCCCTTTACCTTCTTTTGTCCCCTCCCTTCTCCTACTTCTTCACCTTAATGCCTCCTAGGAAGACATCTGTCTGCCTAACATCCAAGCCCTTTTACAATTAGGATTCCAGTCTTTGTTTAGGAGACTTCTTAGCACTGTACATTGTCATGGGAAACAGTGTCTCCCAGGAAGGAAGCCAAAGGAGTAATATCTTTATTACCCTGTTCAGGACAGACAGAGGCAACACATGGGCAAAGTCCAGGTCAATCTGAGGCTCTCTGAGAGTCTTTTCAAATACTGAACAAGTGATATCATGCTTAATATTTGGAGCACAGCATGGAGGCATGAGGACTACAAGATGTTCGCTGTAGTTGCCCTGTTGTGTGCCTGCGGCTCCTGTCTATTTTCCAAGTCTGAACCTCCAGCTTTCCATGGATTCGCTGACCTGCATTATTCTGATTAATTCTCATTTTGCTTTTGTGAGTCAGCTTCTGTTATTTAATGCTCAGATCCCTGACTGATACTTTCCCCAATGTCAACTGTACCCAAATTCATCCTTCCAATTTATTGCTTATCCAGCCGCACAGGAACCTTAGAAAACACAAAATTCTAATTCACAGAACTGCTTCAGTGACCAAAGGGCTGAATCTGGTGTGGACTGAGTTCCACTGCTGACTCTTACCTATACCCATATCCTTGTCATGCCCTTAGCAGATAACTACCTGCTTTCTATGACAAAATATTAGTTACATTGTCCTTACTTTAGATGTATTGTCCTGGTTTTGAGTTCCCTGAATGGCCTTATTTTCTAATACTTATATCTGATCAGCGACCATATTTTCAGATCCTGGCTTTAATGAGGGTCTAATCTAATCCTCCAATCATGATGTGCTGTTATTCAGAATGACAATCACAGATTGACAGGAGAGGTAAAGAACTATCCTGCCCCTCTCTCCAAGCCAGTGAAGTGCCCTAATAGACTTTTCCCTGCCCTACCCAAAGCAACAGACTTTTAAAATCTCTCTGCCAGATTTGCCTCTTCAATGAACTTATTCTAGGCTGATTTTCACAGACTTTCAATCTCCTTTAGTTTCCCTTTGACTTTTGGTTGCCTTCTTTCCAGATTCTCCCTCTTTTCATTGATAATTCTATTGTACATTCTACATGACTTTGATGTGAGTTTTTCTTAAAGATATCATTGAAGTCTGTTCTGAGTCCAGTGTTCTAATCCATCTGGCAACCAGCTAGGTCCAGCAGGATCAGTTTGCCTTATCTAGGGGAGAGGGGACATCATATCTGCAGCTAAGGAGAGTGCCTGTGTTGGGATTAGTGGAACTGCTGTCCTCTTTAGCACGATCACAGCTACTGAGTGCTGTTACTGAGTGGCAGGTCCTAACCTAAGCCCTTTGGGTACATAGTCTTATTTGTTCCTCAGAAAGTCTCTATTAAATTAGCATTATTGCTTATCATTTATTGATGAAAAACCTGAAGGTCAGAGTCATTACATATTCACACAAGTTGATATCACTAGGGAGAGGCAGAGTCATGATGGAAATCTATTACTTTGATCCCAAAGTCTGTGCTTTTACCCACTATAATTTTACCCTCTTCCCTGACACACACGCCCATGAAAAAGTCACCAACTTTTATGCTAGTAAGTAAGCCCTGCATGATTTCCCTCTATCTGCCTTTCTGAGTCATCTCTCCCTGTGTCCCCACTCACTTCAGTCACATAGAATCTGCACTCCAGGCATATTAAATTGTATGTATCTGCAAAGAAGCAATACACTTACACGGCCATCCTTTCTTTAAATGTAGTTTCCTCTAAGTAAAATATTCTCACTGTTATAAACTCCATTTCCAGTCCTATTCATTCCATGTGACCCAGATTAAATATTACCTTTTCCATGAAGCCTGCCCCATTTCCCCATTTGGAAATAACTGACCCCTTTACTTTAATTCTCATATCACTTTATTTACTCTCTACATAGCCAAATCCCCCCTCATCTCCAGCTAAATGTTAGTTCCTTGGAGGTTCCCACTGTGGTCTTCTCTTCTCCACATGCCCTCTGTGTACCACACCCTTCCATGGTAGGTTTAACTGTTGGATTCACTTAAGTGAACTTCTGCCTGGTCATATTTCCAGCACATCTTGTGGGAAGAGAATGTGGCTGCCAGATACTGGCAATCAGAGGCCACCAAATCTGCACTTGCTCCTCATCTTTCACAGTCGCAGTCTCCACATACTCCATCTGGGAGGCTCCCTGCTGGATCTGGGAAGGTCATATGCTTACATTTTACAAATACAAAGGAGAGTACTCACAGTTCTAATAAGCAAAACATCAAACAGCAAACTGGAATCTATAGCCAGTACTGGTGTTAATCAGCACCTTTTAAATGGCATTCTTAATACTACAAATTGTAAAAAGAAAAAGCAATAATATATAGAGTTGATGGTACAAATGGATTTTAAAAATATGTTTCAAGATGCTTGTGATGAGATGCCAAACAACGTAATGAGAAAAACAATTGCTAAGGAACTGTTTCTTCCCATGCTCCC